GCACAACCATACCCCTGCTCATTCCCCCAGAGAGCTGTGCCAGGTCCCTGTGCCGGCCACGCTGAGCACCTGAGGGCTGGCATGGCCTGTAGGAGTACATTGGGCCTTATCTAGTCTTAATTTTTTTTTATTTTTAAAAATTATTATTATTATTATTTTTTTGTAGAGACAACGGTCTTGCCATGTTGCCTAGGTTGGTCTCAAACTCCTGGCCTCAAACGATCCTCCCGCCTTAGCCTCCAAAAACACTGAGATCGCAGGCATGACCCACCATGCCTGGCCTTGGGCCTCTCTGGAAACTGAGGCAGAAGTGGGGCTTCCATTTCCTCAGCACCAATGAACTCTGAGGGGGCTGGGCCGCTTTAGGAAGACCGAGGCACAGGGCCCCTGCTCCATCTAGGGTCCCATACCTTGAGCTGCCATCATGCTCAGAAAATGAGCAACTCACTGGCACTCGCAATACCTGCCCCAGCCCCAGCCGCCTCCCTCAATGTGGCTGGAGTCAGGGAAATCCACTGGAAAGCCACTGTGTGTGGTGGTCTGAGCCCTGGCTGTCCATCACAGCTTGGGTCTGCCCTAGGCAAGAGCACTACTGGTACCTGTGAAGCACAAGGACCCACTTCCGGCCCCAGGAGGGGGTCACAGGCAGATGGAAGCCCCTTTTGCCCCTCTGGTGGAGTGCCCCAGAGTGGCTACAAAGGAGAGACCTGTGTGCCTTTCCTGGGCACCAAGGGGCCAGCTGTGTCTCAGCCTCCGAGGCCTGAGTGGTGCCTGGCAGGACACAGACAGGTGCCCCAGGGAGACGGTGCCAAGGAGGAGACAGTGGCAGCTGGCACACGCCGCACCCCGGCACTGTTGCGAGGGGGAGCCAGTCCCACCCCTGCGGGCTGTGGGCCATGTGGCAAACATTAACACCATGGGAATCTTTCGACTGGGCAATTCCACTTTTAAAAATCCATCTCAGGGAAGTAACTGGACAAATGCTTAGCTCTGATGTGTCAACATAGCTGGTGCGTAACAAGGAACAGACAAACTGGCCGGTGTGCAAGCTCCCGAAGCCAACACAGCTTTGTAACACAGCTCAACACAACCTCGTAAGGTCCATGCTAGCTCAACAGCACGCCAACACAGCTTTGTGTCCGTGCTGTCGACACGGGCTCAACACAACCTCGTAAGGTCCATGCTAGCGCTCCCATTCTACAGATGAGGAAACTGAGGCCCAGAGAGGTGAAGTGACTAGTCAGAGCTGACACAGCTACTGCATCTCGGTGCTGGGATGGACCAACCTCACAGACACAGTTCCCAGAGGCTCCTCCAGGCCCTCTGCTCCTCCCAGGGCGCCCGCCCTGTGCCAGTCCAGACCCTGGTCCTACAATGCCCTTCATCTCCTGATGCCCCCACCTCTGCTCCAGTGAGGCTACCGTCCTCTCCCACCTCCTCACCTTCCGCCCCGATCTAGGGAGCACCTGGAGGCCCCCTCTCGAGGAGGGCCTTCCCAGGGACCTACCCCAGGAAGCTTGCGGCCTCTGCCCTGCCACTGTCCCCTGCAAACCTTTTACACTTGCCAGTTACTAGTACTGGTCTCACCTCCCTGGGCCAATTGCAGCCTGGCCTCAGTTCCAGCCCCGCTGGCTCACTTCGAAGTTCCACAGGTGGAAGCGGGTCTGGGTGAACATGGGTGGCTTTACCCACACACACAGCTAGGAGAGGTCCCAAGACACCTTGGAAAGATGCCCATTTAATCAGGTGTTGGCACCCAGCCACCTGGCATGGGCATGCCGAGTCCAGCCTGCCTTTCCCCAGACTCATGACTGGTGACTTCGAGGTCACACTAGCGGGCACAGCCTCCTCCAGCTCTCACACACGTGCCCAGGGTGTGCGTGCCTGGCTCACGGCGCGCCCAGGTTCACCGGCACACACAGCACTTGTGTTTGGGTACACGATACCCGTTCAGTACCCCTCACCCATGCAGGGCTGGGACACACTTGGATAAACTTTCCTGTTGCAGAGAAACCTGGGATTGTTTGTGGGAGACACAGAAATGCCACCCCTCCCAGGGCTGGTGGCACCAGGGGCAAAGCCTGCAAGCTGGCATCCCTGGGAAGCAGGACACAAAGCCTCAGGGGAGAGCCTGAGACGCCCCCCAACACCCTCCGAGGGCATGAGACGGCCCCACAGCAAGGTCCCGCTGCTGCCACGCCAGGCTCGTCCCAAGTAATTTTCTGTATTAATCTAGAGCTCCCCGTGCGGTGGGTGAACCAGACCAGCACACTTGGAGGCTGCCGGGTGCAAGGACACAGGCCACACACAGGCCAGCCACAGGAAAAGAAGCAGAGGCCCCTGTGGGGACCCCACCCGCTCCCTTCTCACTTACCTCTGTAGCTTCCTGAGCTGCTACTGTGGCCACTCCAGGGCCACAGCAGACCCCTGAGTTCCCCGTGGCCTGAGCCGTCCCTCCTGCCGGCCAGTGCTGGGCGGTACCTTGGGCCTTCAAACCTTTCCCATGGGCCCTGAGCTACTTCCTGCTGCTGAAGGCACTGCTCCCTAATATGGGCCTGGAAGGCGGGCCAGGACCTTGGGCCAGGCATTTACCCTGGCAGGATGCCAGGGCCCGATCCCCTCAGGGCCTAGAGGGTCCCAGGCCCACCCTGGAGCAGGGCTGCTGGGAACTGGTATTTCCAGGAAAAGGCCTGGCCGGGGCTCTGATGCAAAGTGCGCTGGGCAGGGGGTGGCCACTTGCCAGCTCTGGGGCCAACAGGGCCACTGGCCCCTCCCTCTCCTATAACAGCTGTCATCCCCAGGGCCTGTGGGGAGACAGCTGAGGGCCCGGGACTCCATGGCATGGGGGTGGGAGCAGGGCGCCTGGAGGCCAGAAAGGGGGCCAAAGGCCGGTGAAGATCCCTGCCACCTGGAGGGCCAGGAGCTCCTCTCTGGAGCCTCACTTTCCGGCCTGGCGGCCTCGGGGCTGACTCTGGGACGCCACTAGCATGGAGCTGGGGGTTTGAGCTGGGGCACTGGTGTGGGGTGGGGTGTCCCAGCACCTCCTGCCCTCTCTGAACCACAGCACCAAGGCTGGCATCCTCTAGCACCCAGGAAAGACAGAAGCCTGCTCAAGGCCGGGCACCAAGGCCAATGGACTCCAGGGCCCGGGTTCTGACCACACTGCTGCCTGGCGCCCCCCTTCCCGCCTGAGAGCTGGTGCGGAAACCTGCTCCGTGGAGCTCCCCCACCACCAGGCGGCACGAAGGTTCTTTTTTCTGCAGCTGAAGCCACCTGCCTGGGCCGCAAGCCTTGGCCTCACCTGGAGCTTAGCTCCCCTCCGAGCCCAGCCAAGCCCAGGTCCTGCTCCCTCCCCAAGCCTGACTCTCCCTGGAAAGCTCTCACCTGGCCCGCCTGACATCCCCCCAGTGCTGGCAGCTGCTCCGCCTGCAGTGTGATAGGGAATCTCTGTTGCCACGGAGGTCAGCTCAGTCCAGCGGGGAGGAGGAGCTGTCCCGGGCGGGTGGGCAGGGCCAGTTGGGAGACACAGGTGTCTGGAAGGACCCAGTGGATGAGGCCTGGAGCTAAAGGCCAGACCCTAAGGACACAGTCCCGCCGCGTCTTCTAGAGAAAGTCAGACCCAGCAGGGCAGGTACTAATGGCCAGAGAGGGCAACACTAGGCCGGGGCGGGAGATGGTAGGGGCCGGCCAGCCCACAAAGACGAGGATTATCCAGGACCCCCTTGGGGTCATTTTCTCCGTGCCTGACAGGCATCCCCCGGATGGCCTCTCAGGGCACATCCAGGCTGTGCCCACTTCCCAAGGACATCGTCAAGTCACTGGCCACCCTCAGAGCACCTGCTCCTCACCCACGCTGTATCCCAGACTCCCCCAGGTACCAGGCGGGTGCTGTGCCTGCCTCTTGATGCTGGGAACCTCCTCTCCAGCCTGGTCCCTCACCAGAGGCAGCCCTTAAAGACTATCCACCCCACCCCCTCATTTACTCATGGGGAAACTGAGTCCCACAGAACAAACGGGCAGCAGCACCAGGCCTCCCGCTCTCAGGTATGCTCTTCCAGCCCCTTCTCTGGCCTCAGGACAGCCTGAGACTGGGCAGAATCCAGAAGAAACGGCTCTGTTCTGCTGGGGAGGGGCTCGCCCAAGACAGTGACCGGCTCTGCCCAGGGTTCCCTGGAGTCTGGCTCTGGGGACAGGGGGAGGGGCAGACCTGCCTGTTTTTAAGGGCTGAGGGAGGCGGGAGAGGACGGGGAACCAGGACCCTGGGGCCACCTCCGCTCAGGACTGTCCCACTCGGCTGCTGGTCTGTGCCTCTGCACTGGTCACTAGGTGGGTGGGAGCCATGTGGCATCCCAGGACACTGCACAGGGAACAGCTGGCTCCAGGTCACCTGAATGCCCTTCTCAACTGACCCTCTCCTCTCAGGGACGGGCCAGCAGGGAGAGAGGAGTGATCAGAACCCAGGACCCCGCCCTCATCTGACAGCCACTTAACCCACTTCCCACTGGGGGCTGTTCTTTGGAAGGTTACCCTGGACACCCCCTACTGTGTGGGGTAACCTCGTCGGGCACCCCACCCTGACCAAGCACTGCCATGCCACACTAGAGGGATGGAACCTTCCTCCCCACGCTGGGGTAGAGGAGGGGGCTGAGGGCGTGGAAGGCCCTGCACCGCCCCCAACCTCCCTGCCACTCCCCCCACCTGGGAGATGCTCAGGACCCCCATCTAGCCACGGCCGCTCCCCCCAGCTTCTTACCAGGTGGAAGACAGATGGGGACGGACACTGCTGCCTGGGCACCTGCTATTTGTTAGAGAAAGCGAGGCCCACCCTGAGGGACGCCCCTGTTCCCCCAGGTGGGTTGGGAGGGCACTCGCGGGTCCTGGGGAAGTTGGATGGCCCTGGGAACGGCGGGTCCTGCAGGGTGCGGGAGCCTGAGGGGGAACTTGGGGGTCTTAGGTTAGACGGGGGTCTCCCCGCGTGGGGAGGGCGCAGCAGACCGTACCTGGTGGCGCATCGGCCGTCGTCGAACTCGAAGGTCCGGTTGGTGTAGCCCCCGCCGCGCGCCTCCCGGTAGACGCCCCCTGGGCTACGCGCCCCGTCGGGGAGTGGCATGCGGCCCGGCAGCTCGGACCCGACCCGAGGGAGAACCGAGTGGGAGCTGCCACCTTCTTCCCTCGCTTTGCCCTGAAAAGCATTTTTTTTTTCCCCTCGCAGATTAGCAAGGAAAAAACGCCAGTCCCAGGGTCGGGCGCGGGCGTCTGTCCGCGCGCGCCCCCTGCCGGCCGCGCCGGGACCCGCGGCGGCTCTGGCCCAGGCTGGGACGGGGGTTGGGGGTAGGCGAGGGTAGGGAGGGCGAGGGTCCAGGGACCCGCCCCCACTGCGGCCCTCTGAACCCTCAAAACTCCGAAGAACGGAACGGGGTTCGTTAATGGCTAGAAAAGACCAAGCGCGCCGCCACCCGGCCCTACATCCCTGGGAAGGCTCCGTGGTAAGCAGCGGCTTGGGGGGCTCTGGGTCCTTTGCAGGCAGCAGGGCACATGCGCTGCTCTGACCGCCAGCATCCGGCCGCCAAGCCCAGGCACCGTCACCACCTCCCTGCTGTGCTGCTCTGCCCTGGTCAACACTGGTCACTCCAGACAAGCCACATTCAAGATGACTCTCCCCCACCCCCCACAGGTTGCGGCATCTGTCGGTGGGCACCACAACCTGGGCTTGGCCTGGGGGAGGGGGATGAGGGCATCCCACCCTGTGCTCTCACCCACACAGCACGCACAGCACCTTTAGACGGGTGAGGAGGGTTCCAACTTAAGATGCTGCAGCCCAACGACTGGAAAGCAGAGGGTCCCCCTGCAGGCCCCCTTTCCCGTGCACGTGCTCACACTGTTGCACATGAGTCACCCTGGCTCAGATGGCCTCACACAGAGCTCTGGAGAATTGCGATTTCTGTCCCCAGACCTTTGTTGGTTTGCAGTGGGGACCAGGCCCCTCACTAAGCCAGGACTGTGCCCACGAGGGGCAGGGGGAGGGGCAGGGGGAGGGCCAGGTCCATTGGGAGGGCGCATGACATGTACTTCGTGGTCCCTGGCCTCCCCAGTGTCTCTCGGGAGTGTCCTTCCCTGTTTCTCTAGGAGGCAGCCAACTGAACACGGATGCTTTTGGGGTGGGGGTGGGGAACACTCAGGGAGGTCTACGATGCTCTTAAGCCCCCAGCAGAGGTTCAGCCTGTGCCCCCACCACACAGCTTGTGGGCATCTTGGGGGTTTTTCCTCACGTCCCTAGAGAGGCTGGTGCTGCTGCTGGGGTCCCACCACCCCTGGGCGGGTGCAGCCAGGGCAAGATGGTGGCTTTCTGCTAATGCCCTCCTGCCTGGGGAACTCAGAAAAATCACCACTGAGAGTCCGCACCGTCTGCATCTGTGATTAATTAGCAGTAATTACACGGGTTGTCAGCGGCAGGAGACTCCCAGGTTCGATGACATTCCGAGGGCTTTAGGGAAACAAAAACTTGGCCCCCTCTGCCACTGAGGAGCCCCAGATCGCCAGCCCGTCCAGCCCTCCCTGGCCAGGGGCAGGGCTGGGAGAGGGCCCAGGTCCCCGAGAGCTTTTGCCCTACCTCCAACCCGGTCCTCCATGTCTGACCTGCAGTGGTGGCTGGGCTGAGCAGGGATGGAGAGACCACCTTATATTACATAACCTCCCTCTGCTCCAAACACCCTTCGCCCATCTTTGGCCCAAAGTTCAGGATGTCAGCCTGAGGCCTTCTCCACAGGAGATTGGGGCACCCCGGGCAGACGCCCCCTATGTGGTGGCACCTGCCCGGGCTCCTTCTTGCCGCCCCTCTCGGGAAAAGAGCCCCTGCCACCCACTCCACCTCCTCTAGTTACGGACCTCAGCATGAGCCCAGCCACCCACCCCACCTCCTCTAGCTACGGACCTCAGCATGAGCCCGGTCACCCACCCCACCTCCTCTAGCTACAGACCTCAGCATGAGCCCGGTCACCCACCCCACCTCCTCTAGCTAGGGACCTCGGCACCAGCCCAATCATCCACCCCACCTCCTCTAGCTACGGACCTCAGCACCAGCCCAGCCAGTGATGTCCTCCCGACAGTCCAGCCTCAAGCCCCACCCTTGTCCCTTCTGCTTCCCTGAGGGCCACCCCCACCTCCGTGAAAGAGGAAGTCTCCACCTCCCCCTTCCCTCTGTCATCCTCCCAAAAGTATTTACCGGGGCACTCAAGCCCAGCGCAGGGCGGCTTCTTGAATTCAGCGAGGAGGTGAAAAGAGACCTGGCGCCAGAGCTTTCTGGGTTTGGATGGGGAGGACCCCGCGACCCCACGGAAACCTGCTGACAGTATGAGTGGTCGAGCTGGGGCCCCATGGCACGAAGCGGGGGCGGTGCCCAGACAGGGCCAGGGGAAGGGACAGACGGCTCTGAGGGTGCCCGGCAGAGCTGAGCGGGAGGAAGAGCGCGGACGATGGTGGCCTGGGGGTGGGGACAGGATGCCCCTGGCTCTGGGCGACCCAGCAGGGTAGATGGTGACCCTATCCTGAGGCGCAGTACCCGCAAGGGCACTAGATTTGGGGGGAAAAGGCAGGCGTGGGCGACTGGGGGACAGGTGGGTACCCTTCCCTGTCCCTGTGTGCCTGGGTCCCCCAGGCCTGGGCTAAAGGGCTCAGCCCAGCTCGCCCACTCCCACCACGGGCTGGGCTCCTAAGGGCAGGGCCCGCCTCTCCAAAGTGCCCAGGGGCAACGAGACCCCCGCATAAGTAGGAACCAAGACGACCCCTGGGAAGGTAAGGGCGGAGGCAGGGCCACCTGGGCTGGGGCCCTTTCCCTGGCGTACCGAGGGGGCACGGAGTGGGTGGATCCTCCGAGTCCCTTTCCAGCACCTTTGGAGGAACGCGGGTCACATGGGCCCCGGGCTGGATGCGTGGGGAGGGCCAGAGCGCATGCGCTATGGGGGCGGACTGTGAATGGGGGTGGAGGCGGGCTGGGTGGAAAGCACGTGGCAGGTGGGCAGAGCACACGTGAGGGGGCGGGGCTGCCTGCGGAAGGGGCCGTGCGCGTGGGGTCGTTCCGCAGCTGCGAGTTCATGGCGTCCCGGTGCTCCGAGCCCGACCCGGAGGTCTCCGGAGTCCCCACTGCCAGGGGATGCAAGTGAGGAATTGGGCTGGGGGCCAAGGGTGTGGGGGCCCAAGCCCTGTACCCAGGGGTGCTTCTGCAAGTCGCGGGGCTCCACTCCTCTTGGCCCTCCTGGGGGCAGAGCCCTGGACCCTGGGGGAGGGGAAGGGGTGCAGAGAGGGCCGGGTCGTGTCCCTACGTGACCCAGGTCTTGGCCTCCACGCGCATCCCAAAGACCCCCATTCTGGTATCTGGGACTCCCGGTGGCCTTGTCTGGGGTTCTCAGGACCTGGTGTTCTTGGCTCTCTCGGCAGCGGCTCCTCCCTGTCTGGTGCCCTCTCCTGCTGCGAGGACTCGGCCCAGGGCTCGGGCCAGCCCAAGGCCCCTACGGTGGCCGAGGGTCCCAGCTCCTGCCTTCGGCGGAACGTGATCAGCGAGAGGGAGCGCAGGTGAGTGGAGGTGCCTCCCAGAGGTCGGGGCGCTGTAAAGGGGTGGAGCGGGTGAGATTAGGTTTGTGGCTGCCACCAGGTGTCAGGCAGCCGGGAGGGGCTCGTGGCCTGTGCCCCGTGGAAGGACAGACTGCACACCTGCAAGTAAACCAGAAAAGCCACGATGGGGGACATCCCGCAGCCCCTCTTTGCCTAAAGCCTTGGGCTCGTGAGGCTGTGCACCTGTGACCCTCTGCACTGCTGACTGCCTCTGACCCTCCCTGTCCTCTCCACACCGCAAAGCAGCCATGGTTTGGGCCTGGGCTGGACAGCCTGTCACCAGGGCCCAGGGGTCAGGCCCAGGCTGTGCTCTGATGTGGATCTCGGGGCTTCAGACCACGGGGACAGCTAGCCCACTCTGCCCAGGGGGCAGCTCCCAGTTGTCTTGTAACCTCGTCTACCTGGCAAGCCCCCAGGGTCTTTCTGGTAGGTTCTAGCGGTTACTGTCCCTTCTGGGGGAGGCTGGGAGGACCCAGAGATGCTTCCAGAGATGTTTGTTTCTTGACCGGAACCAGGAAACGGATCTCGTTGAGCTGTGAGCGTCTGCGGGCCCTGCTGCCCCAGTTTGATGGCCGGCGAGAGGACATGGCCTCGGTCCTGGAGATGTCTGTGCAGTTTCTGCGGCTTGCCAGCGCCCTGGGGCCCAGCCAGGAGCAGCATGCTGTGAGTTGTCAGGGTAGTCGCCATCAGTCCTCTGGCATCACGGTGATGGGACATCTCACCACTCTGCAGGCAGCACGTCCCCTGTCATGCCCGTCTCCCTCAGCCCCCTCGGCCTCCACCACTAGAGCAGGCCACGTTTTCGGCAGGGCATTTCCTGATTCGTTCAAGTCCTAGCTGTTGTTATTCTCTCCCTGGAAAGGAGGAAGTCTTCTCTTCCAGTCCTCATGTGCCACTGAGTCCTGTGCATTGGTGGGTTACCCAGAAGCTCTATGCCAATGTGGGGGAGAGTCAGGCTCCCCTGATCCTCCCTGGCTGAGCACCCCCTAGATCGTTTCTCTGCACATCCCCAAGAGAGGCTCCTGTCCGCTCTCCAAGGCCCTGGGGGCTCTGGCTGACCCCGTGAGTGCTGGGGTTGAGAACTTGCTTGGGGAATGAAACAGTGTTGTCATCTGTGAGGTCAGGGGTCCCAGCATGTGCAGTGAGGCCCTAGGTATGCACAGCCTGATTCAGGAATGGTGGGGTCTTTTTGGGGTAGAACCTCAGTCTCCTCATTAGCCTGTACCCTCACCCCCAAGTCCCAAGCAGGGACCGAGCTCAGAGCGATCCTCCAGGCCCTGGGTTAGCAGTCTGGCCACAGTTTCTTGGGTTTCCTAGTTGACTCTCTGTCTTTGTTTTACTTGTTTATTTAAATTTCAGATGCTTGCTTCTTCCAAGGAAATGTGGCACTCGTTGCAGGAGGACGTCTTACAGTTGACGCTGTCGAGTCAGATTCCAGCAGGCGTGCCAGACTCTGGGACGGGAGCGTCTGGCGGGACTCGGTTAGTGTCTCCTGGGGCTGCTCTGCAGGGCCGGGTAACCCTGGAAGCAGCAGACCCAGAGCCCCTGGCATGTCCTCGGGAGGGTATGGC